TGAATTCAAGCTTTTGCAGGATACACACAGTAATTGCACAGAAAAAAGCACGCAATTAATTTAGATGCATAATACGTCTCGATCCCACACATTGGAATTTATCGAAATGAATTGAATGGTGAGGAAAATTACGGAAAGTTTTGAGAGAATTGATTGTTTGGTTGATTAATTATGCCGATTAATCAAATTTGTATAAAAAGCTGATCAATTCGTCATAGAGATTTATATGATCATATGTTTCGAATTCCTACGAGTTCTCCATGGATTGGACCTTTCGCAGCACACATGCACATAAACAAGCAATTCATTGAGATATATGGTATGTATGTATCAATCGATCAATAAATATGTTCTGAATGCTGAATAAAATTTTGGGAGATTCGGAGAAATTAAAGTAATTCTTGCAGATTTGCCGGATGCGAAATTCGATTGATCGATAGGTTGCGGAAACAGCTTGAGTTGATCGTGGATCGATCTTCAAGGTTTAAGGTATGTAGAAATTTTGTTTATTATGCCAAATTGATGTTTTGAAGTAAAACACGCAAATCAATTGATCATTTCTATATTTTTTAGCGGTTAATAATTTTTGTTTCGGTTGTGTCATGCTAGTGTAATGTTGATAATATAATGAACTATTAATCGTAGAATATGGCAGGCATGTTATTCGTATGTCCCCATTTTTTAAGACTTGATTTTCAGCCACACGTAGTTAGAATGAATGTTCACCAAAGTGACTTGGTTCTTAAGAAATGAAGAATTCATATCAATAACATTAAGCAAGTCTTAAAGAATTAAAAGGTTACCGTTAGTATGAAAAGTTTCAACCTGTAAAGTGTCAAAAGCGAGAATGATGTTTGACCAGATTTCCCAAAAAATATTTCCAAAAAATATTTCATCTTATAAGGATTTTAATAATTTAATTAATATAGTATTTTTAAAATGAAAAAACTGATAGAGTTGAATATAATTTCTTTTTAAAGATTTTGAATTTGAATTTTTCATTTTTGAAAAATTTAATAGAGATACTTTTAGGAATATTTGTTTACTTCTTAATAGTTCTATTAAAAGGCAACATTTGAATTGTTAAAAAGTAAATCTTGTTTGGAAAAAAAAGATCTGTTTCTTAATGGTTTTAAAATCCTCTAAATGATTTTGTATCATAGGTTTACCATTCAGCTCCCTAATTTCATTGTAAACAATTACCAAACAATTATATTTCATTTTGCACTATACCATTAGAGTCTCTTCATCATTCTGTATCAAACCATTCAACAACTGTCAAATAGCATATTAATAATTTTACATTGTTATAAAGTCTTTTCAGAAATAGTTTTGTTTATATTTTGAGACATTCACAAGTTATACATACATCTTACTGAGTTAGATCATACCTTCAAATTAAATATACTTAATTTATTTTGATTTAGAGCATTTTTACTATTATAAAACGTATTGAATAGAATTTGCAATTATAAAGAAAAATTATATAAATTTGCAGAACAAGAAAATAACACTCCTACTTGATTATTTAGTTGACAGACCACTTCATCTGGATTCAAGCAATTATTGTTTAGTAGCTGTATATTCTCAATTCAATATTTTATTGAAATTAAGTTTCAAAGTAAATTACAAAAATCATCCCTACAGTTTATGGAAATTTTTGTTTTCATCCCTTAACTTCAATAATTACAAAAATTGTCACAATGGTTTGTGTTTGGTTTTGAAAATCGTCCCTGGCCATTAGGCACTTTGGGATCAGCCGCTAAATTCCCCCTTTATGCAAGTCATGTGACTTGTGAGGGTATTTTGGTTATTTTATATAGTTTTTATAAACTGAAATTTAGTGTACAAGTCTTTAAAGCATATATACAATTTCTTAAGAGTATTTATGAAAGGAAACAAATATCCACCCCACCACCATCTTCCCTCTATCTTCAACTCTTCTTCATTCGTTGCACCTGCGTGGACCTCCTGCAACTCCATCCATCACGGCCACCATCACTTCCCTCTTATCATTTCTGTCACCTTTATGCAACCTTATCCACCGCGCCCTTACACCCTCTGTCCCCTGTCAAAGGGACGGACCCAGGTGGTTTTGGTGGTGATGGTACCACCATTTCGTTCCTCTGTTATACCGTAAAAAATTATAGGATCATAAAAAGTGTTATAGTATCAATTTGTTGTATGTCACCATATATATTTTGAAACTACAATGAAGATATGGATTTATATTGGTAGAGTTGGTTTGCAAGATTTTTCTTACACTCTACACTTAAGTTCAAATCATAATCATGTTAGTCTCATTTTCTTTATTTTTAATTTTTAATTTCATATTTATTTTGTTTCTGAAAAAAATATTGCAATAAAAAACTTAAAGACATGACCTCACTTATGAAAAGTAGTGAACTAACAACAGACCAATGATGATTTTGTGAAAAATATCTCTATATTTGTTTCTTATAGTCAAATGATGTCACCGTTCAAAAAAAATCTAAGTTCGTCCCTTATCCTGTCACTCCTTCGATTTCTCCATTGAAGCACCATTTCACCCTCACCATATTCAATTATTCATTATTTGCAAATCTATAAGAGTATTTTTTTTTAATTATATACATTATAACAATCAGTGTAAACATAATTAAAGTCTGTAATTTAGAATAAAACATATATAAATTTGCATAGATATTGTGTTTTTTAGGCATTGGAAGTCGGATGCAGTATCTTTCATGTTATTCTGTGCATAGTATATTTGTTTAAATAAGCGTCTGCACAACAAACTTTCGTCTTTTTCGAAAAGAAAAATACTAAGGAGTTTGATGAATCTGTTAGATTTACACACTTCTTTTATATATTTATGGTGGTACAACTTTAAGGATATTGCATCCCCACCCTCATAAGACAAACACTGTATAAAACATCTCTAAAACTATATTAAAAAATATATTTTAAAGACTTAAGATTTTTTATGTTAAAATAGAGAGAGAGAAAAAGAATGTACAAATCTTCAAATTTCAAGACAACACTAAAACTTATTATTATGAATCTTTTCCACTGAGCTTGAATATGTAATAATTATATTTATAGAACATTTCAATTATATAATTAATACGGAAATCACTAAAATGGAATTGCGGTTAGAGTTGGATATAATTTTTGGGTGATGTTGTATGCACTTCTTTTAATATCAGAATTAAGTCAGATCATACATTTGAAATATAAAAAGTAATTTTTGATATTGATGTGTAGAGAAGAAAATTAGTAAACAAGACGCATTTAGCAATATATATGAGTATATTTTTGCCACCCCTAAGTTTTGTAGTGATTTTGCACTCCTTTTTATATTAGAATCATGTCAATTATGTATTAAAAATGTAAAAGAGTATGTCTTAATGATGATGTGTGTGAGAAGAAAATTAGTAGATAATAATATATACAAGGTTGTATTTAAACCATCCCTTTAAAAATTACAACACAACTAATTTCCCTTTCTATTAGATTTCACCCGTCAAGGTATGCTTGTTGATTAAGATATTATCAATCGGAATATTTGTACGGATTCCCTATGAAAAAGTGATAGGGTTGCTATTGATGAAGATTGTTTTCAAGTGTCCTGTTCTTTTGGAAGAGACGGATGCTTCAAGCAAAAGAACCTTAGGCTTTGGGTAGAACGCTAATACTAAAGTCTTCCCACATTGATATCAACTCCATTGACAATCAAGAGACAAATTTTATTTGTATTCTCTTTGATTAGTATTTGCTCCATACCACTGATCCACATCCTTAAACTTCATTTATTACGAAAGAAGACTTGTCCTTTAAGCATAGGTTACGATAGGAAATATAAAAGAATATATTCAAACTTTGGTTTTATCAGAATCTCAAAATCATCCTCAAAAATGGAGAAAGAACAAAAATTTGTCTATATGTGCATAATTTATTTTGAAAGGGAAAGATTGCATTAATTGTTTTTTACTTCATAAATTTGTTAGGAGTATTAAACACAATTACTTATGGAATTTATTTATTTTTTAAATAAATTATGAAAAATACTTAAGAGATCCTTCAAAAACCAAGATGGAGAATCAAAATTCAAAATTTATAAAAAAAATCATTCTAACTCCAACAATTTCTTCATTTTTAGAGATTACGACATTGATTATATTACAATTATTTCATGCATTCTTAATAAAATATTATTTCATTCGTCTAAACAGTTAATTTCAATGTTTATTATTGATGAAAAAATATATAAAAAGAGACTTCTCTTTTATAGTAATTATTCGTTTTGAAATTCTTTAAATTTGGAGAATTTTGCTATTTCTCTCATTTCTCCATTTTAGAGCCTTAGAAGAAATTTTTTTGTCTAAAATCCTCAAAATCTCTATTTTCCAAAATATGTTGGAGATCTCTAAGGCCTAAGGATTTATATACTGAACACTTATCAGGTAAGAGATGCTTACTCGATCATAGATAATGGTGTTTACCAAGGATCTTACCGGATCATTTTGCTGATGGAAGTTAGGGTGGTCCTATCGGTGCTTACCCAATTTGTATTAATAAATGGGCCCGAACCCACAAAGCCTAGCTAGCCTGGTTATCTCAAACCGGCATTTGAACCCATAAAGCCTAGTCGCACCCGGTCAAAGTTTGTGAGGCATGATGTGTCCAAAGGTCACAAAAAACAGAATTTCATAGACGATGTCACAAAGGTCCTATACAAGATACTACAATGTCGTGTTCAGATTACTTTTAGTATTCAATATTTCGTCACTGCGAATAAAATTAGCCGTTTATCCCTTGGAATTCATGTTACCTTGCTGAGATCTTAATGCCCCAATATTTTCGGTCCGACCAAGGTTATATTTTGTCGTCTTTAGCTTCTGTATATAATGTTCGATACTTCTATTGTTTTAGGTTCAAAGGAGTATAGTACTCATGTTCTACAGAAATGTTTCAGGCAATCTGATCAAGGAGGAGAAGCTTCTATTGTTTGCTAAATGATGGCATGCAGTACTATGTCCGTTTCCAGCCAACCGACTACCCCGAAAGCCGAAAGCCCGAGAATGGGACAACGGCCGAACATCCTTAACCGCTCGATCTCCGGCCAAAACTTAAGACAGCATGCGAGAATTCAAAGAGCATATTCTGACAACAATCTATGTTATTCCGCTCATCGTGTTCAAGCCTCGATGAATCAACCCAAGTTGAAAAACGGGATTTTCGACTTCAATTTATCGGGTTCAATTATTCCCAACGCACTCAAGACATTGTTATTTGATCCTGAGATAAACACGGAAACAGATGACGAATCAACGGATGCTAGTGATGTAGAAATGGAGAAACAAGGGAAGAAACGGGCGAACTGGATAGAGATGCTAATGGAGATTCGAGGCCGATGGGTTCAGAAACAAGATGATAATGAAATTGATGGTGATACTGAAGAAGAAAAAGGTTGTGATGAAGGTGGAGATGGAGATGGGTGTGAGGTTGATTATAGTGATGATGAAGGGAGTGTAAGCATCAATCAGGAAGCATTCTCCAAATTGTTGAAACATGTTTCTTGGTCTGATACCAAGCATTTCTCGCAATTGGCTTTTCTCTGCAACATGGCCTATGTTATCCCAGAGATTGAGGTATGTTCTAACCCATTGCTTATATTTTTCTGATAAATTTGAGATTACTCTCCAAAAGAGCCATAAAAACAAAGAGGTTTCAATATGTATCTAGGATTATAGATCCAAATTTAGCCGATGTGAGACTAAGGGGCCGTTTACCAAACACTTACCCGGTAAGCTCTTACCAGTAAATTTAACACTACCACTTACTTACCGGGTAAGACTTTTATCCACCAAAACGATATTGTATGCAACAATTTACCCGGTAAGCGCTTACCATGGTAAGAGTCGTCGCCCTCACTTACCGGGTAAGACTCTCGATCCTTGTCTCTCTCTTACCGGGTAAGATTCTTAGTCCTTACTATATTCATCCGATAAGGTAATGTGACTTGGTAAACGCTTACCTGAGTAAGCGTTTTGTGAGAAGATGTGGAACCTCGTTAGATTAATCTTCAAAAAAGCTCTTGAGAAGAGAATGAGGGTTCCAACATATAAAGAAAAAAATGGTTCAAATTTAGTTGATGTAAGACTATAACAACATGCCCCTCCAATAGAGGCTACACGGGCAAAAATGTTGTCCCAGAGTGTCAAGAGGGGGCTAGACTCGTCTGAGGGGCGATAAACGAATAAAGATTCTTCTAGAATGTCGGGTCTCTATGGTAGTAGACCTTAGCTTTGATATTATGTAAGAATATGTGGAAGCTTATTAGATTACTTTTAAAAAAGCCCTGATGAGAGAATAGATTCAAATCCAGCCTATACAAGACTATAACAAATTTCTTTTTTTTGTGAGGATATGTAGAACCCCGATAGATTACTTTCCAAAAGAGAATGCATGTTCCAATATATATATAAAGAAGAAATTGTAGTCAATATGGGATTCTAAAACGCCTCCTCCAACTCAGGCTCGACCGACACAAATTGTCCCAATAAGGGATTAGATGAATACATATTTCGCTAGATTGCCTTATAGTGCCAAGTAAGTAGTAACTAGAGTGCCTACTCTCCAAAAAGAACCGCTTAGTGTTTCATATATATATATATATATATATATATATATATATATATATATATAAATGAGAACTAATTAGAAACAGAAGAAGAGTGAATGCATATAAAAAAATCTTGGAAGTCAAACATGTAAAAAATTAAAGTTTTTCGACATTCTTGCAGGAAGACGACTTAAGAAGATACTATGATTTGACATTCGTAACATCTTCCTTGGAGAAGAAAGCATTAGCTGAAGCCATCGCAGAGGACTCAATTCGCTTACCCATGACTACTTCAATTACCAACCAAACTCTCGAAAAATACGGTGAACTCAAGCAGCAGCGTATAACCCGCACTTCTGCTTACGAGATAGCAGCCTCGGCAGCAACATATGTCCAATCCCATGCCGGCGGACTTACAAACCTTAAATCCGAACCGCAACAGCAGGAAGCTGATGGCGTCTTAAGTCGCAAAGATGACTACCCGTTAGACAAAACCAATTCTTCTTCTCCAAGAGTATACAATTCAGAGATGGCGGCATTTATGGCGGCTTCAACTATGACCGCCGTTGTGGCGGCACCCGAGAAAGAAAAACAGGAGGCTGCAAGGGATCTTCAGTCACTTCACTCCTCCCCTTGTGAATGGTTTATTTGTGATGATTCCAGCATTTATACTCGATGTTTTATTATCCAGGTACGTTTCTACATCATCTAAATTTAAGAAAATCAACCTTGAAACTAGTAAATAAAAGTTCTTCTTAGTATTACTGCGTATGTCATATGAAATTAATCAAAGAAGCATTACAAACTGGCATTTCGGTTAAAGAAAAAAGAGCTTAAAAGAAAATTTTGTGAGAACTTACTAACCATTCTACCTCCTGACAATTGCAGGGTTCTGATTCAGTGGCATCATGGCAGGCAAATCTCTTCTTTGAACCAACTAAATTTGAGGTAGGATGCTTTTCAAAATTTAGCTTATTTGACTTTCTTTATTTTGTAATTTATTTTGGACAAACTCTTTACTTTGCACATTTTTTAAAGGATTTTAACAAAAAATATTATTCTTTTTGAAAATAGATGTCAGACTTCTATACGTTAAACAATAAAACCCCCAAAACTTGGGCATAGCAAGCCCGAAGCCCTAAAAAGCCTAACATGCCAAGTTTTTTTTTCTGGAAAGCTTGGGTCTAAAAAGCTCAAACGAGACCCATTTTCACACAAACAAGACAGAGATCAAATCTATGTACATCAAAATAGATAAACACTAAAACGTGAAACTCGGGCATAACAAGCCCGAAGCCCTAGAAGCCTGACCAGGCTAATATTTTTCTTCTTAAAAAACCTGGGTCTAAAAAGCCCCAACCTAAAAAAGGCCTAATGGACCCATTTTCACACAAAAAGCTCGGGCTACGAGATATGTTTATTTTGGTTTGGTTTATGCTTCTCTAATAACTTGTCTTGATGGTAGCATACGACAAAAACCGCAATATATTGACCATAAAGAACCCATTACAGGGAACAGGGGTGCTAGTTCACAGAGGAATATACGAGGCTGCAAAGGGAATATACGAGCAATTCATGCCGCATATTTTGGAACATCTGAACAGATATGGTGAAAGAGCAAAGCTTCAATTCACAGGTCATTCTCTTGGAGGCAGCCTCTCTTTACTGGTTAACTTGATGCTACTGACCAGAAAGGTTGTGAAACCATCGGCTTTACGACCAGTGGTCACCTTCGGTTCACCGTTTGTGTTCTGTAGTGGTCAAAAGATTCTCGATCAGTTGGGGCTAGACGAAAACCATATTCATTGTGTCATGATGCACCGAGATATCGTCCCGAGAGCGTTTTCATGCAATTACCCTAACCATGTTGCACAATTGCTCAAGCGGTTGTGTGGTACTTTCCGCTCTCATCCATGCCTAAATAGAAACGTAAGTGTTCTTTCCGTCCCCCTTCCGTCTTTATCTAATATCATACTTAGATTATCCTCATTTTCACAACTAGATATTAGCTTATTTTTTGAGCTTATTAGAAAAGTATCGTTTGGTTAGACATAAACTTCAAGTAGCATTTTAATAAGATACGGAGGCTTTTTTCCAATTTTTTTACAATTATACCCTTAAAAATTCTAAGTTATTAAGTTTTAGGCATATCAGCTAGTTCTTTCAGTTTTTCCCCTCATATTTTTCCAATTAATATTTCAATATTTTTTCAGGTCATTTTACAATGTTATCAAGCTAACAAATAGTTTTAGTCCGCAAAACATTAGCGGTATCGTAGCCCTTGGCCTTCTAAGAGGTCAGGGGTTCAAACCTCACGATAGGTGAGGAGGGTGTGTGAGTTTATTTATTGCATTTGCCGTATATAAATATTATATACTTAAAAAAAAAAAAAACATTAGATTAAAGCTATTCATAGAATGGCATTGCCAAACTACCTCCTAAGTCTATTTATGTTCGATATTTGCAGAGGCTATTATATACACCGCTCGGGAAGATGTTCATCCTCCAACCTGATGAAAAATCGTCACCACATCATCCTCTACTCCCTCGTGGAAGCGCTCTATACGCTATGGAAAATACTCAATCTGGTTCGACCAAAAACGCTCTTCGTTCCTTTTTAAATTCCCCACACCCAATAGAAACCTTACAACACCCAACAGCCTACGGGTCCGATGGCACCATCCTTAGGGACCATGACTCGAGCAACTACCTCAAGGCCGTGAACGGAATCATAAGACAACACACAAAGACGTTCATCAAGAAACCAAGAGAACAGAGGAACCTTTTGTGGCCGTTATTGACTTCACAATCTCCGCATTATTGGAGTCAAGAAACAAAACTCGATGAGAAAAAGTTGACGGTTTCGGATCAAAAAAGGTTGATTACGACAGAAGTGGCGTGAAACCTATAGTGAAAACTAACTTAACTGGGGCAATGTTCATAAGAGGTTTGGCTTCAAATTTAATTGCATTATTGTAAATTGTGGTCCATCCTAGCCCCCCAAATTTTCATTGTATCTACTACTAATAAATATATATATATGTTAATAATGAAAACCCCGATATTTGGATAAAAAGTTGATTACTGTCAATTCCAACCAATCCCACACGAAACCCGTCTCCAAAAAATACCGATCTGAGGGGGCATTTTTTTGGCTCACTCAATGGTTGAGGCTAATGAGGGGGCCTATGATCGAACCTGGATTTGTCTTGTATTTGGGTAAAGTCACCTCACTCCTTTGTTAACTAACCTACATGCCAAAGGTAAAAACCCCGAGGTTAGTTGTGGAAAAAAGGGTTTGCACTACCCTTTGTAGTACCCTTACGGTACCACGATCTTGGAGGAGTTAAATTAAAGTGTCCTACTTTAAGATGAACAGAGCTAAATATGAACCTGAGACCATGTTGTAGAAACTCCAGACATTTTCCATTGGGACAAGTCAAGAGAGACAACCCGGTATTAGTTATTATATACAACCTGCCTTTCAATTTCTTTTTTCATACGAGTTGTTACGGTAACACTTACATGGTCACTTATCTTATTAGATGAGCATGACAAGAACTAAGAATCTTATCCGGCAAGGTATGTGAGGGTGGTGGTTGTTAATCGATAGACGTTTACCTGGTTAAACGATGGTAAACAACACCTTAGATCATCTCCAATGGAATGAATGATAAAAAAAACTCATTTTTAAATTATTTTTTTGTCACATTATTGCCAACTCAACAAACCAACAACCACCATAATGATACCCATGGTTAACCAAAAATTAAAAAAATGAAGTGATGAACATGGGTTGCAACTTGCACTAAATCAAAAATCCATTTTAATAAGAGGATACAAGTTGCAAACAAGACTTGGGTCTTTGAGAATTCTTCTTGAAGGTCATTGATTCGAGTACTGCAAGATCATTGGGGATTTTTCCTAGCTGTCCTCGGGCCTTGGGATTAGTCAAGGTGCACACAAATTGGCCCGAACACCCACAATTAACACAAAAAAGTTACAGATAAAATGAATAATCTTACGAGTTGCCATGAAACAAGGCTCAACATATTAAATAAATCAAACCTAATGAGCATATTATATCTCACCCGAAGGTGGGGTTTGAAGAGGATGAGATGTACGCAGATCTGTCCTCCATTCCCAAAGAGTATATAAGGTGTTTCCATAAAGAACCATCTTGCAAAAAATACGAACAATCGCAATGAGTTGGGTTTGTACCCATATCTCTGGTTTTGTCGTGCAAAACTTCTATTCCGACTGAAACTGAACCAGCAGATGGCTTTTGAGACGGTGTTTACATAGTTCAAATTCACGGTTGTTGCTAGGATTATCGTCATATAACTAGTATTCAATAGTATACGAAAACAAAGCAATCTACTTCCTTCCATGAAAAAAGATTAAGACAAAAAAACAATCATCTTCGCTGTCATACAACCGTTATCTAACAAGATCTGAGTCGGCTCTCCCTCCGTGCCAAAATAAATGCCTACAACGAAAAAGACACGGTTTAGAAATGTGTAATTATTACACCTTTTAATTAACTAAATGACAATTCTACCCTTAACGATAGAAGGAGTAATGAATTTTTCCATCTCATAATTAAGGATAAAAGTAAAAAATAAGCACTTAAAATAGAACTGTGAACACTTATTTAGAACAAACTAAAATAGAACTGTGAACACTTTTTTGGAACAAACTAAAATAGAACTATAGACACTTATTTGGTGATGGAGTGAGTAAATAAATATGTTGTCATGTATCTCCACATAGAAGTTGCACGACTTTCCACATATGTAGGCCATCTCGAATAAGGCAACACCAAATCCATAAAAAGCAGTGTAAATTTTGGTGCAAACAATAAATCTACTCCAATGAGTAAAACCGAATTTTACACAAAAATGTATGATTCTTGGTATATTTCTTCTTTATCTTTTCTAATTGATGTAAAATTTGGTGTAAATGAATACTATTTCGTAGGATGGGGAATGGGCTAGAAAAGCCGCATATAGGTTTCCAAAGAGCTAGGATAGATAAAGGGGTCCCCTTTTTTTTTGGTTAGGCCCTGTTTTGTTTGTGAGCAGCTTAACGAGCTTAATGGGACTTACAGCTTATTCGGTCAATTATATATAACTGTTTGGTAGTGGCTTAATGATATAGAAAGTGGCTTATTCAGTAAGCTTTTAGGAGGAGAAAGTTTTATACAGAAAGCCAAGTTTTTTTTTCCAAACCTGCCTCTCCCAATTAAAAAAGACACTCCTTTCGTCTATGAAAAAACCCTCCCAAACGAAAACCTTCCCAATCTATACAGACATAAATCCACACAGACAACCTGATCCTTAAGGCTGCCTAGTATGCTTCATGTGACAAATAGTTTAAAACAGCCCCTGTAATCTTTATCTTCTTTTGATGTACAATTTTCTGCTTTCATTTGAATAAACCAAACTAAACGAACAGTATATCCCACCTAAAGGTGGGGTCCAGGGAGAGTAAGATGTACACAGGCCGGTAGTGGTGGTGGCAATGGACCCCACCTTTAGGTGGGGTATACTGTTCGTTTAGTTAGGTTTATTCAAATGAAAGCAGAAAATTGTACATCAAAAGAAGATAAAGATTACAGGGGCTGTTTTAAACTATTTGTCACATGAAGCATACTAGGCAGCTTGTTTGTTGACAAGAATTTTAAGGGTACATAAAGATAAACAGGCTTAAAAATTGAGTGACTTAGATTCTAACCACCATACTTGTAGTTTCGTTGCAAACCATTGTACTTGCTAAAAGCCATTTTTAAAGAAATTAAAACATGGCAGAGCAGAGTGAGTGGTTTTAAAAAGTTCCTAATTTTTGGTTTGCAAAGAAACCACAGGTACATTGTTCAAATCGGTTTGCATTTTAGCAAGTATAATGGTTTGTTTGCAATGAACATACATGCACAGTAGTTCTGGAACTCATTTAAGGCCTGTTTGTTAGAAGCTTAATGAGCTTAATGTGGCTCACAGCTTACTCGGTCAGCTATACATGACTGTTTGGTAGTGGCCTAGTGATATAGAAAGTGGCTTATTGAGTAAGCTTCTAGGGGGGAGCTTTATGCAGAATGCCAAGTTTTTTCCAGACCTTCCCCTTCCAATTAAAAAACACGCTCATTCCATCTACGGAAAAACCTTCCCAAAACAAAAAAATCTCAATCTATACAGACAGATTAATCCACGGAGTTCTTTATCCATACCAGACGATGGAAAATCAACCAAACAGCCCCTTACTCATTAATGATAGAAACCCTGTTTATAAACCAAAAATAACAAAATGACTCGAGAACTATAGTGTAGCCACATTATGTAACAAGATCTACACCATCATTCATTTTGACAATTTGGCGGTTTCAAGATTTAATTTGACCAGATATGCAATGTAATATCCCTAAAAAGTAGACAAAAAGTATCGGCGTACATGTGTAGTGTCATCTAAAACCATGAAAAACGGCTGAAAAGGGAAAGTCCATGAGATAAGTAAAAATTAACTTTGAAAGTGAACTTATGTTGCAAAGCAGACATAGTGAAATACGTAATCTATATCAACGAAACAAAGAAGGGTTGAAACATACATGCTCGCTATTTCCCTGTCGCAGCCATCCTTTTTTTAATTTCAAAAGCAGTGTTGAATATCCCAAGCGTAGGCTGGTTGCACACGTAACATCTTTTCTTCTTTGCATGGTGCTGCATATCAGAAATTCCAAAAAACAAACCTTATACTAAACAAAATTGCTGACATAAACATATACATCTAAAAATTCTTAAGTAAGAAAAGGAGGGTAAGGATTGAAATATTAGAAAAGCAAAAAAAAAGCGGGAATCATGCAAAAGTCTAGAATAAACAAATTTTAGCATGTTAACAACATTTCCTTCCATTTATTATGATTTTTCATTGTATGATCAAGTTTTTTCTTTCAATTAAATTACACTTTAAATCCTTCGTTTTCTGAACTATATTTCGAGTATATTTGAATATTGCAGACTTGTAAAGGTTAGGGTTCAAGATGAGGCCAGATACAAGTGACTAATGAGTCCTTACTCCAAATCCAAAGTCAGTTGCCTTATCAAAGAAACTGCAAACCATGTAAAAAAGTTACTCCCTCCGTCCCAGAACAAGTGCCCACTTTCAAAAGATGCCTATTTTCCAATTTTACACAAATTATAAGATGGTGAAATTCATTGCTCCCTCTACTATTAAGGGTAAATTGTTATTTCGTTGATTAAAAATTGTAGTAAAACACATCCTGAAAACTGTATGCCTTTTAGTTGATTAAGAAATTCATTACTCCCTCTATAATTAAGGGTACAATAGTCATTTACTTCATTAAAAGGTGTAATAATTACACATTTCTAAAATTCTGTGCCTTTTAAATTGTAGACATTTATTTTAGGACGAAGGGAGTAAAAACAGAGAGCATGGAGAATCTAACCTTTAAAGCACAATGCTCGCAGAAATAGTGCTTGCACTTGGTCATAACAGGATCAACAAACGGTTGCCGGCAGATAAAACAAGCAAAGGGAAGTCCATCCTCATCGTCTTCAACATCCTCATCATCCTCATCATCATCATCGTCATCCCCTTTCAATGCCAATTTCCTCTTCCTTGCCTTCTCTGCTTCATCCCACTCTTTCTCCATCTGCCATCCTGACTTGTAATCCCCACGATCATGCATGAACTTACACGAATCACCATACCCACAATACCCGGTCTCCTTATAATCCTTGCAAATATCTGGCTGGTAATCAAACCGAGCCGAAACCCTAATGTGAGCAGAAGCTCTCAATGGTCCATGAGATCCACCTGCTTTCTCACTAGCAACAGTTTGCTCTCGCCTAAAACCAGCCTTATAATCAGTATACCCATGAATACCTTTATATAACTTCTCATCACTGGCTCCATTACCCTTCTTCCCTTTCAAAGCTTCATCTGCTTGCCTAAGAACTCTTTCACGGATGGCCCTTGCATCTCTAGAAAAGTCTGTCTCCGTTTCTAGTGTCGCCGTTGCTCTACTGTCATTCTGAACTTGAATTTCTTTGGAAGAATCAAACTGAAAAATTGATGCTTTTTTATCTACCTCAGGTTGTTCTGAGGTTGCGGATCGCTTAGACGATCCGGTAGCAAAATGCAATCTATTGTCTGGTGCAGGAGGCTTTTTCTTATTGATCACAACAGAGGGTTCCTCTTGTTCATCAGTTTTTTCATCATCGTCGTCATGAGCCCTTTTCCGTATATTTTTGTTCTTTGAGGGTTTCCGAAAAAAGTTGCACACTGTATATGGGATAACAAAAACTAAAATCATCATCAATTGTATCTGATGCCATACAAAAAACAATCGTATTCAAGAAAATAGGCACCTACTTGGAGAAAAAAATCAAGATAAACAACATACCTTGTTCTGTCTTCGGTTGTTCTTCTTCCGGTTTTTCAGCCATATGGACAGGGGCGGAGCAAGGATTTGGTCCTCTTAACCTTAATAAAAAACAGGTGCTATATTTCAGTAAGTGAGCCCAGTAAAAAATATAGTGCAAATTAGAAATTAACATATGCCTGCTTTATGTCTCCTACAAGAAACTAAGAAGCTGATGGCGCCACTGTTGTATCAGAAGAGCTCAACTAGAGATATACGAAAAAAGGCAGGCTAAATGCACATTTGAGCTGATTTTCACATAAATACGGGTGCATATACTTACCTGAGTTGCCATATAGGGTGATGCTATATGCACTCGTACATAAGCCAAAATCAAGTCAAATCATACATTGGAATGTAAAAAGGGACTTTTGATTTTGATGTGTGCGCGGAGGATTGTGCTAAATGCACCCCTAACTATCAATTTCCTCATCAAACACATCAACATCAAAAATCCACTTTTTACAATCCCAATGCATGAATTGACCGTGTTGCAATTAGCCTACTCCATAACATCACCCTTTTAGCATATAGGTGCATTTAGCAATCACAGGGGTGCAATTAGCCTACCTGCCATCATATATCACGTAAAATATCCAGTATCACATAGTGAAAACAGACCTCATTGCACTACCCAAAGCATCCATGATTTCCTCAACAAATTGGGCATATATATGTATGTATGAAACAAGAACAAGATAGAAACAGTGAATGCATATAATCAAAACAATGATACATAACAAAAATTAATGGCATGATTTGCCTAGCATCCAACAATTTCTAGTTTCACGAACAAATAAAAAACCCTATTTTATGGATTAACACCAGCTGATTCAATATCAAAGCTATATATATATATTTATATGTGTGTATATATATATATATATATATTCCAAACCTTATTTTATGCCAAGTAGAATATACGAAACGCTATTTTATGCAGCCAAAGAAGCTAATTAAGTATGAAGCATCTAACCTCAGCCGGAAAACGAATTGGGGATTTGAGGATTCCGGAGTCTATGGAGCTACACAGGGGTGATATGATGGCCTCTGAGCTATAATCGTCGAGAGGGGCGGAGGCCTGAGGGAGAGCGGCGCTACGGCGGAGTAAGCGGAGAGAGAAGCGGCGCTACGGCGGAGTAAGCGACGACGTCGTCGTCGGTGAATCAGGGAGGCAGCGGTTAAAATGTCATCTGTGAAAGGAGCCTCGCATATATATATATACGTGCTATTATTTTATCACATTTACGTCAACGATTTTCGATGTGATTTTGTTCGCACTTACACAATTAAGCCTTGTATTATAACACATAACAAGGGTGTTATTGACATTGATGGATCCAAGATTTTTGTTCAGTAGAGTTACCTTTAAGGTAGATTAAAGACCCGTGAAATCGTTCGATGTGTTTTTAACTTAATTACAACGTTTTCGAGACAATTTCAAAGTTTTTTGGTTGATTTCGAGGGATTTTTTAGTGTTTTTGTCGATTTCGAATAACTTTTTTGGCTTTTTTATTGATTTCAACAGATTTTTTTTGTTAGAGTAACGGTTTCGATTGGGGTTGTGACCCGTGAAAAATGAAATGGGGAAATAAAAGGTAAATCATGTAAAAACTAAATTTTAACCTATAATTTTTTTTTTGAGTTTTTGACTGGTCCCTTCCCCCCTCCTTTTTAACATTGCATTCGCCCCTGGTTGTTGATATATGCTAAATTATAGACGCATACAACTTTTGGCGCGGGATAAGTCGTAGAACACATCGTCCGCACGCATATTATCACATGTGATAAGGATGTTCTTGCATTCTCGTAAAAATATGTTCTTGTTTGAACCTCCACATATATATATATATACACACGTACTCGTACAAACAGGTACATGTGATTTTAAAAAAGTTATAATATTTTTATTTTTAAATCAAATATAAATTTAAGAATATTATAGAAATTTGATAAAATATATTAATATTAGTATTAAATTAACTATTTAAAATTTCTTTCTTATGTATTTTTTGTTATAATTAGTTTAATAATATATTTTTTTAAAGATAATAATTAATTATTTTCTATAACTCAATAACTATTCTAATTATATTTTAAATTTTTTATATTTTAAAATTAAATGTTTATATTTTATTTGATTATATTTATCCACAGTTAGTTACACGAATTTAAACATGGAACTTTAATAAGTTGTACTTATGCATAATTTACTTGTAATCTTGAACTTTAAGTAATATATATCAATAAACAGTAATTCATGCATAAAAAATGGTTTTACGAGTTTTTTGTCAAATGTTTTATGATATAGTATAGATAAACCATTTGGTAACAAAAATTAAAAACCATGTTTGAAAAATTTAGACTTGCATGTTTAAAAAATCGTAATTACTTTTAGTTAGAAAAATTAACATATTGTAATTTCTTTCAGGCCAGTTTTGGGTTCGGATATAACCAATGGTAAACAAGGATTTTTATCTTTAATGGGTTCCCCAACGGAGTTCAAAGAAACCGCGAGGACTCGACGGGGATCCTCCATAAGATCCCGTCAAGGTTACAGAGACGGTTTTAATTATCAGTTTCGAGGACATAGATAATGGTCCGAACCCAGTCCGTTACCATTCCTAAACATCATATATGAAACATTGTCCTTAAAATTCGAAAACACAAACTTACAAACACCCCATTTAAGTCATTAAACTTTTTGCTTAAACAAACATTTAACTAAAGAAAACACCATACATTTTTATGCATTCAAAAATTTGAGATTTTTATATCTTTCTCTTACTTGTATTATTGTAGAGAAAGTTTAGAAAAAAAAAATCTTTCATTTTCTCTATTTTAAACAATTTGTTGAAAACCACAAGGATGGTGTCTGATCGGTTTGAGCTTGGCTTCAAAGGTCAAAAGTACCAGGAGGTCTCAGGTTCAAATACAAGGAGGAATAAAAATCCCCTTGTGGCCACGGAGATTCAAATGCGATGACTCCGGGCTATCTGCAAAGCAGGGATTAATCGACTCACATAGCAGGTTGGATATCCAGGTTAATAAAACAAATCTGTTGAAAATGATACTATAGCACACCTATCATATATTATCATATATTATGAAGAAAAAAGTGTCACGTCAGCAACATGACATAAGCTTTATGTTACTTTTCTTAATAGAAGATAAATATGGTCAAATAATAGAAAAATGGTCTTAACTACTACAAGTTAATCAGAGTCATATCGAGAGAACGTCTTGGGACCTCGGGGACGTCTCTTCGAGTATGAGCGAGTGTGCCTCCCAAAACTCGTCTTCAATTATATTTGGGTGTTCCACGACCGCTTTCTTGTGTGATTTTGCAACAACTCCGTTATCCATCATTGTCGTCTCCTAGACATATACAGAAATCAGAACTGATGTATTGAAAGCATACATACCAGTATTATTGTAGAATGAATTTGTGAAAAAGAATATGGAAACGTGATTAAAGGTACGCCCTTCTCTGAGAGTTGGAGCGGGGGTGGATCTATTAAACCGAGCGTGAATCTTACCCGATAAGTGACTAGATGGCTGTTTGGTTGGTTTTCCATCAAGTCTTGTATGGATAAAATTGTCTATTTGTATTATCTGTCTGTTTAGATTATGAAGATTTTTGTTTGGGAGGGATTTTTTGTAGATGGAAAGAACGTGTTTTTAAATTGGGATTAACAGGTTTGGAAGAACTTGGCTTTCTATATAAAGTTTCCCCTTAGAAGCTTACTGAATAAACACTTTTTGTATCATTGTCACTAACAAACAATCATGTATAACTAACCCAAAAAGTTATGAGTCCCATTAATCCTATTAAACTGCTAACAAACAGGCCTAGGGGAGAAAACTTGAGAAAACTTATCTGGTAAGTGTTTACCGGGTAAAAGACACTTATTAGCAATACATTTTGATGGCCGGAGAAAACCTACATGGTAAGCGTTTACTGAGAAATGTAATCCGACAAGGCAAGTGAAGGTAGTGAGTCTTGCAAGTAAGAGTTTGGCAAACGGGACCCAAGGCTATGCTTAGCAAGCTAGCTTTTTTGGAAATAAGATAGCTGATAAACTAATCATGTTTGGTAAAATAAAAAATTGATAACAATGTAAAATAACCTAAAAAGGCATGTAAATATTAAGGGTACCATTGGAAAATTTTGGAAAAGCCACCTTGACCTTGTTGAAAAGCTATTAAAAACTTGTGTATGGCTAACCAAGCTAGATTTTCTCAATAAACTATGGCCAAGGTTGCCAAACATGGCCCAAAGGTTTCTTATTAGGTCCTGTATGGATAAAATTATTTGTATAGATTAATTTGTCTATATATTAGGATGGTTTTTGGTTAGAAGGGTTTTTCATAGATAGAAGGGGTGTGTTTTTTAATTGGGAGGGGCAGGTTTGGAAAGAAACTTGTCTTTCTGCATAAGCCACTTTCTATATCATTAAGTCACTATCAAACAATCATGTATAACTGACTGAATAAGTTGTAAGTTCCATTAAGCTGCTAACAAACAGACGCTAAATCTTATATAACCAGACAATCCCACTATATCCCATGTGGGGGTGGGGTCCGAGACTAAATCTTGTATGTTGTTCATTAAATATAGATTAAAATATCTTCATTTCACAACCCCTTCAAAGAAAACAAGCACAAAATGCAAATTTTTGAAGGGCCACTGCAATGCACCAAGACAACTATACAGAACTCTCTTTATGGAAGTCCAAGTAAACAATATTTCCCTTGTTAATTGTATTTTGCAGAGGTGGTTTCCTCCATGCTCACATGGCTGACGGAAGAAGACTCCATTTGAATGTGCAACTAAGTTCATATCGATATATATATATATATATATACACACACACACACACAGAGGGGGAGAGATTTAGGGGAAACCCCAAAAAGATGGAAAACTGAGGAACACCCTGGTAACCATTCATTTGGACAATATACACATGTGCATACAAGTAATTGAAGTTGTTTCTTGGTTTTTATGCACGTGTGCATGTTATGCACCGGACAAATTGCTTACAAACTAATTGTATGCACATGTTCATACCCTTCAGATGGACGGTTACCAGGGTATTCCTCAGTTTTTATTTTTTTGTGGTTTTCCTCTGAACCTGTATAGATATATATAGAGAGAGAGAGAGAAAGAGAGATGACCTTGTCCCAGAATACAGAAGATCCATTGCGGAATATGATGGGCAACATATTGTAATCAATACCGAATAACTGAGAAAGCATTTGATTCTTCTCTTGTGTTTGAGTACCCTGTAAACAAACATTCTCATAAGACAATTTCTTGTGGCAAGGGGCCGTTTACCAAACACTTATTAGGTAAGCGCTTACCAGCCCCTAACTGAATTGAGTAAGTAATAGTAGAAGAAGTACCATTAAATATGTATACATTTAAAGAGAAGACATAAAATCCAACAAACTAGGATATCAAACAAGATATACAATATGAAACAAAGGGAGTACCAAGTATGCATATAATTGTGTGTATGCTTATCGTATGCTGTAAGAGAAAAAATCTCTAATAAAAATATAAGGATTATATGAGATATTGGCACCTTTAAGAGACTTTGAGCTTCCCTTGTGCTTTTGCCAGACTTGACTAGCATCCAAAAGCAAGTGTTATACTGATTGTTTATGTGACCTACACAAATTAAAACACGTTGGAAAAAAAAGGGAGTTATAGAAATGTCTTGGATTTGATCAAAGGATCTCACTGCCATTTACCAAACGTGTGCTGGGTAAGCGCTTACCGGGTGTCACTTACCTTACTGGATGAGCATGGCAAGGACCAAGAATCTTACCCGGGTAAGAGACGTTTACCAACAATCCATTTTGATGGCCGAGAATGTTTTCCGGATAAGGCAAGTGAGGGTGGTGACTCTTGCAAGTAAGCACTGCCCGGTAACCGTTGGTAAATGGCCCCTAACATTAAGGAGTAAGGACATTAAGGTCTAGTTAGAAATCAGCATGGATCCAATTTAATAGTCCTTTCCAGCATGGATGTGAGGTCTGGACAAAGTCGCACTTATGGGATCTCGATCATGGATGAGGTTGTTGTGAATAAGCCATAGTGTCGACTCATTAATTTTGATTATAATAATCAAAAAATATCATAAAATTCTAAAAAGAAAGAAAGGTAGAGAGCAAAATGTACTCACAGTCAACTTGTCTCCAAGCTAGATAATCTCGAATAATCTCGTATGATGGATAGCAAACAGCCCTTCCATCGAAATTTGGTGGGTACTTCAACTCTTTCTTAGGGAAGAATTCTTTCCATTTCATCACATATGTAGAAGAGAAGAATGAGACAGTTGCAGACACTATTTCACTGCAAGGATCAAAAATGAAAATTCCACTACTAAAAATAATTGTTATATAATTGAAATACAACTATATATCAAGGGCCCATTTGGTTTGACGGAATGTTTTTGAGGGATTTGGATTTCGTGGAACGATTTGGAATCTTTGGTGTGTTTCGTTTATAGGATTTGGCATGGAATTGAATCCATTCTTTATAAATAAAATATAAAAATAAATAAATTACCTTTTTATTAATTGATCATTACAAAACAAGTGTTTTTAACATATTTTAAAATATTTACAAATAAATCCTATGTAATCCCCCAAAATACCAACTACCCTCATGGGATTTCTAAATCCCAATGTGGAGAATTTGTTGGAGATGCTCTAAGTAAAATTACTCTCTACCAAGGGAATAGAGACAAGCTCTACAAACATCCTCCCCCCCCCCCCCAACTCGGGACCTATCTTGGTGAGATATAATAGGTTTGTTTAGTTTGGTTCAAACGCTAATTACAACAATTCTTCCCAAATGAAAATATAATACAACCCACTTAAAGGGGGTGTAAACGAGTCGAGCTTTAAACGAGCTACTCGAGCTTGTTTACCTCGAGCTAGTTTATCTCGAGCTTAATAATTCTCGAGCTCGAGTCGATCTCGAACACAAAATAGAACCCGTTTATCTTAACGAGTCGAGCTTCATAAGATCAATGTTCGACTCGGGTCGTTCTAAAGCTCGATTAAATTTTTTAGTGGAGTTGAGTCAAGCCAAGCCATTCGAGCATATACTTTTTTGAGCCAAACATGCTCATATGTTCAAAAATAATACAATAAAAACATAAAAATTATCGACCTCGAGCCAATAAACAAGTTAATCGACCGCAAGTACGATCCCTTAAACGATCTCGAGCTCGACAACTCAAAAAATATTCGAGCTCGAGCCCTACATTTAAAAAGTTATTCGAGCTTGAGTCGAGCCTGGTATAAATTTTTCAACCCGAGCTCGAATAACCTACTACTCAACTTGGCTCGGCTCGTTTACACCCCTGGATGCCATCAAGAGTTTAGTACTATTTTGAAGTACTTTCTACTTGGTATAAAGAATGGAAGACAAACCTGGCTCGTCTTTGATAGAGTGGAGTATTTCTCTTAAAGACAAAGCTGAAAATCGAAAATGTTGACGGTAATTACACATTGCATTAATACCGCAATGTCAATCAATAAGCAATTTAATTTAATAAACTTACCTGTACTCATCACTCACTCCATATGCAAACACGATGTCGTTAAACTCCTCCAATACAGCAACTGCACATGAGTTCATAAGTTTCAGAGCGTGCTCGTCATTAGGCTTCTCAAATCCTTGAACCTCAGAAAATCTAGTGGGCAAAGAAAATAAGAAAGAAAATTGATAAAAGCGAAGTAAACAAAAGCTGAAGATTAAGTTTTTGCATTCAACACAACTATCAAAATAGAAATTGCTTCTTATTTCTCATTCCACCACTTCAAGAGCTCTATTCAGTTGTTCTCTGAGGGCCCGTCTGAAATTGGAATTGGAATTGGACGGATTTGGAATCTTTGGTTTGTTTGGATTATAGGATTTGGAATGGAATTGAATTCCATTCTTTATAAGTAATTTAAAAAAACAAATTATAAAAAATTAAAGTACCTTTACAAAACAAGTGTCTTTAACATTATTTAAAAACATTGTTACAAACAAATCCTAAGAAATCCCACGAAATACCAACTACTCCCATGGGAATTCTAAATCCCATGTTTATGGGATTTCAATTCCGGGCTTTCATTTCAACCGAACGTAGGATTGGAATTAAATCCGATTCCAAATCCCACGGAATCCCACAAACCAAACGGACCCTTAACATACATATATATATATATATATAGAGAGAGAGAGAGAGAGAGAGAATCCGTTTCATACAAAGATGGTACCTAAATAAGAAAATGGCTGAATCACATGTAATTTACACTAAGATCACGTATAAAATCACATGTGATTCACGCAAATTTGCCCCGCGAAGTGAGGTCGAGGCCAAAGTCGCCCGCACACCTTTTTCCTAAACGTTAATGTAAAATCACATGTGATTTTGTACGTAATTTGACCATTTTCTTATTTTTTAATTTAGGTATCATTCTCGTATGAACTTACCTATATATATATACATATATATACATATATATATATATACATATATATATACATATATATATACATATATATATATATATCCCTCTAATTTGATATGGTTTTACCTGTGGAAATGAGAGCCATCTATTCTTATCACGATCCAAGTAAATGGCAGCAACTTATTCTCAGACTGAAACGATTTCACATACTCCTGCTTAATATTATTCACATTCTGCTCGAAACCACCTATCTCCTTGCAAAGACAAGAATAATCATTCCAGAAACTTCTCGACGCTATATTTTCTGAATGGACAATTATGACCTTCTTCCGCAGTCTTTTGACTGGGGCTTCATTGTTGGATATCTTTAAGGTATCATCAACCTGAGTGATAGCTAAAAGATTAGTTTTAGAGTAGTTGTAGGACGTATGCGAATGAGCATTCATGATTCATATGTGCATAACAATTTTGAAATTAAAATGCACCTCATGCTATAAGTCATATTATGTCCAACACTAATTGCCGTTCACCAGAAAATAAACCAACCACAAATTTACAGCACAAACCAAGCCTAAAGGACTCATCAATATGTATAGCAATTTAGCAACCTACATGATCTCCTATCCAAGAGCATATCTAACCGGTTAAACTATTAAATACCAAAATTACACAAAGAAATCCCAAATTTAACAACAAAAATTAGAAATCTGTATTTCCACATTGACATTATGGATAAAGCAAACCAGCTCCCACAAAATCAAGGTTTGGGAAGAAAATAAAGCTACTGCAAATAATATAGAAAATGCCCCAACCAAAATGTTTGCTTTTTAAGTGTAAATTAATTATAAAAATCAGAAATATTGTCAAATGGTACCATAAATAACCTCATAAAATTGATGGTCTCAAAGTTATTGTATATTTTGTGTAATAAAAAGAGGTGCCGAGGCAATACATAAATACAGGAGGAAAGGAAAACAAAAGGAAGCTAGCCTAATTTAGAGGCAAGAAATACAATGGTCAAACAATATGAATGGGAAGCAAATCGAGATATATATGGTCAATATAGAATTCCAATACTCCCCCTTAAGTTGGAGCGTGGAGATCTTTAGTGCCCAACTTGTCAAGTAGAAATCTGAGCTGTTGAGTCCCTAGTCCTTTCATTAGAAGATCGGCGATCTGCATGGAGGTGGCAATTTGAAGTGGTTCAACTTCTTGTGACTCGACCCTTTCCCGGACGAAATAACAGTCCATCTCTACATGTTTGGTTCGTTCGTGAAAAACTGGGTTATTTGCAATGTGACGAGCTGCCTGGTTGTCACAAAACAAGGGGGTCGGTTTTGTGGAGAAGATGTCCAGCTCGGTTAGGAGCCATATAACACAAAGGACTTCACTAACGGTGGATGCCATGGATCGATATTCTGCTTCAGCGGAGGAGCGGGATACAACCGATTGTTTCTTGGTCTTCCAAGAGATGGGTGCCCCGCCTAGAAAAAGTAAGTATCCTATTCGAGATTTTTTGGTGTAAGGGCACCCCAGCCAGTCAGAGTCACAGTACGCAGTAAGAGTACAACCTCCTTCACGAGGGAAAAGAATGCCTTTGCCCCGGTGTGCCCTTCAGATACCGAAGAACTCTGTGAACCGCGTTCATGTGAGGTTGTCTTGGATCTGCAACGACCTGACTCAAAACATTAACCGAGTAAGTGATATCCGGTCTTGTAGCTTGCAAATACAACCTCCCAACTATTCAACGGTACTGCCCAGCATCTACTTTTGGTTCATTCTCGGCTTTGTCTAGCTTGAGATTCTGCTCGATAGGAAAGGGGCTTGGCTTACAACCTTGCAAGCCGCAATCTTTTAGAATGTCAAGGATGTACTTTCTTTGACTCAGAACCAACCCCTTCGAGGTCCAGGCTGCTTCAATCCCAAGAAAATACTTGAGAATTACCGCGGTCCTTTATACTAAATCTTTTATCGAGTTCATCCTTTGTTTCTTGCATTCTTCTCGTGTCGTTCCCTACCATGACGACATCATCGACATAAATAAGGGCTGCCACGAAAACCTTTTGTTGTTTGTAGATGAAAAGAGAATGGTCGGCCTTAGATTGTTTGAAGCCGAGATCGAGTAGGGCATTGGTGAATTTTTTATACCAATTGCGAGACGCTTGCTTCAAACCGTACAAGGATTTTCTTAGCCTACAAACTCTTGTCTCTCCTTCTTTAGCAAAGCCTTGAGGGACCTTCATATATACTTCTTCATTTAGAACCCCGTGTAGAAACGCGTTGTTGACATCGAGTTGGTGGATGGCCCAATTTTTCTTGATGGCCCAATTTTTCTTGATGGCCACCGCTAAGAGAGTTCTCACAGTGACTAGCTTTGCTACCGGGGCAAAAGTATCATGGTAGTGTACCCCTAATTGGGTAAACCCCTTTGCAACTAACCGTGCCTCGTATCTTTCGACTTCTCCATTGGGTTTATATTTCACTTTGTATACCCATTTCGAGTCAATAGTGTGTTTTCCTTCAGGCAGTTCTTCTAGAGTCCATGTGCCATTCTTTTCTAGAGCGCGTATTTCATTTTTCATGGCTTCCTTCCATTTATCACTTTTGACAGCGTGATAGAAACGTCGTGGCTCATTGTTGGAGTCGGTGGCAGCTGAGAAGGCTTTATGAGTCTCAGAAAAATGTTTGTATGAAATAAAGTTAGTTAAGGGATGTACCGTAGAGGATCCTTGATTTGGTGAGGCTTGTGCCTGGTCAACCGATGGGGGAAGTTGGACAAAATAATCGTTGAAATGTTTCGCTTGTGACCGGCTTCTTTTCTCTCGCAATGGCTCGACGTTTGGGCCATGTTGCTCGTTTTGATCTATGTTTAGCCTGCTCGCTTGGGCTTTCTGTATGGGCTTCATTGTCTTCACTTTGATTTAATTCAGCCTCCTCCCTTGGGCTTTCAGTTCCAGTGGAGACCCCAACATCACTGGCTTCTTCATTGTTTGTGGTTTCATCATGGATGGGCCCATCATGAGGTTCAAATAATTCGGTTGTTTCAGGGGACAATTGGTCAAAAGGGAATTTATCTTCATGAAACCTAACGTCCCTGGAGACCATTATTTTCTTATTTTCAAGATCAAAAATTTTATATCCTTTAGTCCCTGATGAGTAACCTATAAATACCCCGGGCCTCCCTCTCACTTCAAACTTGTCTCCTCTGGTCTCAGTGCTTCTATAGTAGACTAAGCACCCGAACACTTTCATGAAACCATAATCCGGTTTAGAACACGAGTCACATGACTTATTGAAAGAAATGTTACTAAGAAAATCAATATGGGTAAGCTCGTCACCAGAAGCATGGCCCAACCTTTTATGCCAAGCATCAACAGTCGTCATCAAGCCTTTTTTCTCGGCTCCAAACATCCCCATTCGGTAGAGACCCTTTCTGCACTCACCCGCACCAATCAAGTCCCTCGTGTGGAGTTTCTGCATGACACAAAAATCGGGAAAAAAGGTTATGGCCGATTGAAGATCTTGGCATAAGCGACTGACAGATAAGAGATTGCACGTGAATTTAGGAATGTGCAGAACGCCTCTTATCTTGGTCCCCCCCCCCCCGGGTAAGGTACATTCTCCCTTTCCCTCAACAAGTATAACATCTCCGTTCGGAATGACGACCGGAGTTCCATTTCGAGTTTCAATCCTGTTTTCAAGGATGTTTGTGTTGTGTGTAATATGTTTGGTAGAGCCCGAATCAATTATCCACTCAGCATCACAACTAGTTTTACCTGTCACGCATGCCATCGAAGTCTTGTTGTCTTTGCTTGTGTTCCCACTTTCTGCAAAATGTTTCAAGAAAGACTCACATTGTTCGTTAGTCAAGCGTGGAATAGGACTTGAACCAGTATCAATGCAAGTTGCCTTGGGATTGGTTTCATCACGTTTCTTGTTTCTTGACCACCAATCGGGATATCCAATTCGTTTGAAGCATCCATCCCGGTTGTGCCCATCTTTCCCACAGAAGTTGCAATGTTCAGTGACATCAATGCGTTTGTTTCCTTTTGAGAAAGGTTTCTCACGGCGTTGCCCCGCGCTCGTTTCTTGTCGTCTTGGCATGAAGGTCTTGAACGCAGCGGATTCGGTGGGTGCCCTTTTGTCAGTGGAAATATTTCTTTGGCATTCATCTTCAGCAACGAGATGATAAGCATTTCGGAGACTTGGGGTTAGGCTCATTGCAAGACTCTGCGTTCTAATCATAGAAAAATTATCATCGAGTCCCATAAGGAACTCATACAGTCTTTCCTTCTCCCTGAAATCAATCATCCTTTTCCCTATCACACGTCCAGCCGGTGCATGTACATCGAGGGATAGACGAAACAGATTACATATCATCCCATAAACTGCGTAGCTTAGTATAGTAAGCGGAAACCGACATACCTTCTTGTTGGGTTGTTGTGAGGGTCCGCTTCAATTCGTATGCTCTAGGTGCACTCTCTTTTCCAAATCTTTCGAGTAAATCGGTCCAGATTTCAGCGGCTGTACTGGCGTATTCGACGCTATTCCTGATATCCTTTTCCATGGCGGTTGTGAGCCATCCTTTCACCATTGCGTCACAACGCATCCATGGCATATATTCATCAGTGGTCTTCTCGGGTTGATTGATCAATCCATCAACGAAACCCATTTTATTTTTGGCGAAGAGAAAATTCATCATTTCTTGCGACGAGTCAGCATAATTGTTGTCGGTGAGAGTCTCGTTGACGTGCATTTGTTTTGGGTAGTCGGAACTCGGAAGCATGAATGTAGAATGGAGAGTTCGTATCCATGGTGCTTCGTTGTTTTGAGGAGGAGGGCCCTTCTTTATCGTCGGCCATGGGTAGAACAGAAGGCCGACTAGGGTTGGTGATTTAGGTTAAACCGCTCTGATACCATCATAAAATTGATGGTCTCAAAGTTATTGTATATTTCGTGTATTGAAAAGCGGTGCCGATGCAATACATAAATACAAGAGGAAAGGAAAACAAAAGGAAGCTAGCCTAATTTAGAGGCAAGAAATATGATGGTCAAACAATATGAATGGGAAGCAAATCGGGATATATATGGTCAATATAGAATTCCAATATAAACACGGAAGAAACTCCTTGTCTCCTAGAAAAAGAAAATGTTGGCAATATTCACTACACCTAACTTGACACACTTGCACAATCTTGTACCAAAAATGTATGTGAGAGATTTGTATGCAGTGTGAATTTGTTTTTGCCTAGTATGAGAGATTTTAAGGCTCTTACCATGACCAAGAACGATCTCATCAAGGCCTCCATATTCAGAGAGATTGTGAAGTGTTGCATGATTGGAGGTGACGTGGTTAGAGGAACCACTGTCAAAGAGCCAAGTTGGTGTAGGATGTGTGGAGCAAGATGTAGTAACATTTGCAAAAGGACTTGTACCTTGGGTATTCACCACTGAAATATTGTTTTCTTTGAGAAATTTGGAGCTCTTTCTGCAGTCCTTTGTGACCAGAAATATTGCAATAATGGCAAAAATATGCATTCTGATTAGAACGTGTTCCGCCTTGCTGTGAAGAAGACCATCGAGAACGAGAGTTGCGTTGCTGATTGTTGGGTGAGTACCTATTGGTGCGTGGGACCGTAGTCGAAATAGTAGGAGTGTGAAACTGAAATCGATTTGGCTGTCAATTGGTGTAATTGACGGTGATCAGCACTGGTTCAGGTGTCATCGAGGCAGCTTGTAGGGACCGCTCAAGTCAAGGAGTTTATCAAATAACTTCGGATATGAGATCGGAGTCTCACGGACTTTGAGTGCAACAGCAATTGTGGTGTACTCGCACCGAGTTGTGAGAGAATGTGAACAAGCAGATCTTCTTCAGCCACCAGGTTTTGGGCAAGAGCCAAATCGTCTGCAATCGATCTCATATCATGTAGATAGTCTGTGATGGATCAATTACCTTGTGGATTTTTGGCCAATTTAGAATTGAGGGAGATAATACGGGATCGGGAGGCGCTCGCGCAACCCGAGTTGAGTCATTCCCATGTTTCTTGGGTTGTGTCAGCAGAAGAGATAATCGGCTGGATGGAGTCGGAGCAAAGTGCACTGATTATTATATGGTCTTGTCTGAACCATAGAAGATAGTCGGGACTAGGAGTTGTTTTCTCTTTATCGGTTATGACCTTTGATGGTGGTTGAAGGGTACAATCAAGATATTTGTAAAGATCAAGTCCAATCAAGGTTGATTGAACTTGCTTCCTCCATACAGTAAAGTTTGAGGCTATAAGTTTAATAGGAAAATGAGTAGGAGCTGTGAGTTGGACAATGGTTGAATTAGGGTTAGCCATGCATGGAGAGGAAGATGATGGGATTGAGGATCAGAACTCGTTTGAGCGATTTAGGCTCTGATACCATAAAATGGTGTGCTATTGTTGATCTTTGATGGTTTGAAAATACATACATCAGAAGGTTGTTTGTAGCCATTTACAACAAATGGAAAGGAGAAGATTACGGGGCTAAACTAGGCAAGTTACAACAAGAATATATACCAAGAATAGATTAAATTCAAATTATGAATTTGAATCTTTTGAATGATCCGTAATATAACAGACGGATATAACACACTAGATCATGACAAAAGGTGCAATCTCTAAAATGGCATACACATACCACATAGTACTTGTGGTTACTGTAACGGATGAGCCAGATATCAATATAAGAAATTTATCAATTAGATAATAGAATATTATAGAGTTACAAAAAATTGTGTGGCTTCAATAGGAAGAACATGAGAAATTAGATACATACATACATACATATATATATATATATATATATCAGTTTCTTAAGTCTTGCCCATAAAAGGTTGTGTGTGGCTAACTACTAGTAATATACTAGCATGGAGCATTATACATTCTGATTGAAATCCCATACTTTTTGAGTTGAGAGAATGTTTTATTTCCCCAATATTAATATGCAAGTCTACAGTTTCTAAAATACCCTGATAGACAATGAACACTCAAACAGCTTGCCTAAATTCTTCAAAAGGCTATATCAATGAGAAATTTCTAATCGGACTCATTCTGCAAGTTTCTAATATTTCTATTCAATAGTAAATAAATCAATAAAAAGGTGAAATAAGAATATGTAAATAATAGAAACGCAAAATTTGGTATGAGATTCAACCTCTGTCTTGAGAACACAAGAACCCTGGCGGTACATGCTTGGAAGTTTTTTGTAGTTGATACCAAATTGTTGGAAAAGGATCTCGTTTTGTTCTTGCTTTTGAGTTCCCTACAAATAAGCCATATACAATATAAGAAGTAAGGAAGCATGGATATGCACATAGTCGTTTATTCAAATATGGATATCGCATTTGAAACAATAGCACTGACAAAGATAAAGATTGAAGATAGTGATACACCATATCACATCCCTTGACTATGCTTCCATATCACATCCCTTGATTTATGCCTCAATATCTCTTGATATGATTCTTGTAATTACTTTTGTGATCATCTGGAATATTTGTTTTCATTTCTTTGCAAGTATAAATACTTGTTAGCAATGTTGTAATAGACAAGTTCTTTTCGATCAATTTCTATATGATATCAGAGCTCTAATCGATCAATTCTCCTAAACCCATTCATCCTATCACAAAACCCTTCTTCATCTTTTCTCAATGACCTTCAATGATCAATCCTTCATCCCTAATACTATTAAACCCAACCACCACTCACTTTGGTCTCCCACTCTTCAACAAGGCAACCCCGCCCCTAACAAGGCCGTTGTCAATGGTGTAAAGTGCAAGGACATTATGTCACCCAATGCTCCATTTCTGGCCAACAATGTGAGTGCCCCATTTTTGACCTCTGGGTTGTTACTTGACAGCGGTGCCTCCCACCACGTTACCAACAATCTAAAGACGCTTTCCTACATGCTCCTTATATTGGCAGTGATGAACTAGTCATTGGCGATGGCTCTGGACTTCCAATATCAAACATTGGTTTCACGTCTCTTCTCACACCCTCTCATTCTTTTCACTTAAATAATGTTCTTCATGTTCCTTCCGTGTCAAGAAACATAATCTCCATCTCACAATTTTGTCATGATAATAATGCTTCCATCACGTTCTTACCTAACTCGTTTCTTGTGAAGGACATACAAACATGAGCTACACTACTTCAGGGTCCAACTAAATCTGGAATATATGAATGGCATCCCATTCGCCCAAACATCAACTCCACTTCTCTATCTACAAGCTTATATTGGCATCACAGATTAGGACACCCGTCCTTCTCTCTTCTCAAGAAAATTAGTTCTATGTTTAACCTTTCTATTCCAAGTTCTCCTTTAAATTGCAATGCATGTGCTTGCAATAGAAGTCATAAACTTCCATTTTCTCAATCTACTATTAGCTCTAATAGGCCATTCGATGTTATTTATAGTGATGGATGGACATCTCCTATCTACTCCTATGATGGTCACAAATATTACATCATCTTTGTTGATCATTATTCTAAGTATATACGGCTCTATCCCCTTAAACACAAGTCTGACACAAAAGATGTTCTCATTCGTCTTAAAGCACTAGTTGAAAAATATTTCAATCGTCCTATCATCACTCTCTACTTAGACAATGGGGGAGAATATCAAAAATTAACCCTTTTCTTGCTATACATGGCATCACTCACCTCACATCCACTCCCCACCCACCTCAACATAATGGTTATTCAGAGCATGGACATAGACATATTGTCGAAACAGTGCGATCTCTTCTTCATCATGCCTCCATGCCCCTCAAATATTGGTCTTTAGCATTCTCAACTGCCATTTACCTTATTAATAGATTACCTACTCCAACTCTTGCGCACCAATCTCCCTTTTCACAAATTTTTGGCTTTACTCCAAACTACATGAAATTACGTAGCTTTGGTAGCCTATGTTAACCATGGTTATGACCTTATACCTCACACAAACTCAATCAAAGTTCAACACCATGTGTCTTTGTTGGGTACTCTTCCACCCAAAGTGCCTACTACTGTCTTGATCTCAAAACCCACAAAATATACGTCTCACATCATGTTAAGTTTGTTGAACAAACATTCCCTTTTAACAATTTAACTTCTATCGACACACCTAACGTTGATACATGGCATATTGTGCCTCTCCCTGTCGTCTCTCCTACTTCACATGATCCAACTACGATCTCAGAGTCAACCTCAACCCCACCCCCTCCTCCTCCCCCTCCGCCTACCCCTCCGCCTCCTCCTCCCCCTCCTTCTAATACCACTCCACCTCAACAACCATCTCGCCAAATAGTCACTCGTCTCCAAAACAACATTAATAAACCGAACCCTAACTACAACCTCTCCATCCATCTAGCTAGTGCCTCCAATTAACCTACTACAATCACGCAAGCTCTTAAATCCGTTCATTGGCAAAAAGCCATGCAAGTCGAGTATGATGCACTTATCCACAATCATACTTGGGATTTGTTCCCCCATCTCCCTCTCAAAATCGTGTTGGTTGTAAATGGGTATTTTGAACCAAGGTTTTTAAAAGCGGAATCGGGACTAGAGGCGTTTTCCTTCCACGCCCCGAGGCGCAAGCCTCGAGGCTTAAAACAAATAAAATTCATAAATATAAATAGTAAGCAAAACATAATTCCATACCAAACTTTAAATGTCATAGATTCATAATCATAAAATACTAGTTATACATCGAAAAACATATCAGTCTACAACTTATAGTTCCCCGTAGCATGATCAAGTTGTATAGCTCCACAATCATATCCATAATCACTATCACTTTCATCTTCCAAATCCACAGAAAACAGAAAAATAATACAGAAAACTGAAAATGATATAGAAAACATAAGATAAAAATAATACAAAAAAACAAAATATATACAAAAAAACATACACAACACATTATACATATAGAGAATACATTATACATGATATAGAACATATATATTTGACTAAGATATATATAATATAATAATACATTATACATAAACTAAAAATATGGACACAAGCTAAAAAGAACTTACTTTTTAGGTTGGCCTTTGAGATGAAAATCTTCTTGAGAGAGGAAAAAGTAAGAAATGGGGAACAAAAAAATGTTGTTTGGAGAGGCGTGCGCCTCAAAAATGCCTTACGCCTCAATGCCTCAAGGCACCGCCTCACCAACTGAGGCTTAAGCCTCGTCCAGGACCAGCAGTTTTGGACCGCCTCGCCTCGAGGGTACGCCTCAAACGATTTTGAAAACCATGTTTCGAACTAAATATAACCCCGATGGCACGATAGAACGCTATAAAGCCGTCTAGTGGCTAAAGGTTTTCATCAATGTCCCGGTCTAGATTGTAAAGAAACCTTTAACCCGTTTATTAAAACCTTCCACTATCAGGGTCATCCTCTCTTTAGCTGTCACTTTAGGTTGGTCTGATAAAAACCCACTGAAGGTGTACTCAAGGAAAAGGAATCGGGTCACAGCTGCCAATATGGAGCAGCTGAATTCTATTTTTGGGAATTGGCTGAATCCATTAGGCCAAAACAATTGATGGTCAACTGGCTGAATTTACTCAAATTAATTGATGGTTAACCAAGGAATTAGGGAGCAGTTACCACACTTGATTTTAGCAGTTACCATACTTAATTCTAAGAATAGGATAGTATAAATAACAGGCTTGCTTATATTATCATCAAAGTTACTCATATTTATCATTTCTTGTAAACGGAGACCTTGCCCCTCTCGAATCGGCCACTATCAATAAAAAGCTAGTCTATCCCTATTCTTATTAATTTAGTACCTATCATGGTCTCTCTGCCAACTTGACATCAATAACGCATTTCTCCAAGGTACACTTATGGAGGATGTGTATATGACCCAACCTCCTGGCTTCTTTGACAAAAGCCGCCATAATCATGTTTGCAAGCTCCATAAGGCTCTCTATGGATTGAAACAATCCCCTCGAGCATGGTACACGGAACTCAAAAATATATCTACTCACTCTTAATTTTGCAATGCCATCTCCGATTCTTCTCTTTTCATTCTTCGCCACAATAATCATGTCATTTATCTCCTTGTCTATGTCGATGATATCATTGTCACCGGTTACAACAAAAATCTTATTGACCCTTTTATATCTCAACTCTTTGCTCGATTCTCTCTTAAAGACCTTGAAAACCTCTCTTACTTTCTAGGTGTAGAAGTCATTCCTCACCGTCGCGGTCTCTTCCTTAGCCAACAAAAATACACTCTTGATATTCTAAAAATAGGCAAGGTCTTTTCCATCAATTTCTATAAACACTTCCATTTAACCAAACCAAATAGACCAATTTATCACACACAGAGGTAGGGTCAAGGGGTAGCCATACCTTGCCTCTACCACAAAAAGTAGAGAGGTAGTTTCTGTGAAGACCCGGGTTTGCAAAACAAAAATACAAGTAGGAAAAGTAACGTTGTAACATAAGGGTGCGTGCAAACACACAATAGGTATGAGTGAACCAAAAAGGAAGTGGGGACTCATGACTTGAGGGATATAAGATAATACAATAAGGGAATCACAAACCTTAGCACTGACAATTGCTAGAGCAGGAAATAAAACAAAGAGTGGCATACAGTAAAAGCAAGAAACTTAAGACTCGTATAAATAAAAAATAGAAGTAGGATAAACTCAAACGACTCCCTAAATAACGTAAGGCTTCTAGTAATGAAGAAAATTTTATCAAGATCAAGTGAATGAATAATGTTTGAAACCAAGATCTTGCATCTAAATCTTTGTGGGTTTTTTCTTGAGAAAAGAAATAATTTCAGGAAGCATATAAAATGAAGTGCAGCAACAAAATAAACTAAGCGTACACACCTTCAAGACTTCGTGTGCTTCTCGTTCTGATTTCCCATTTTTAACCAACATCCATAGGCAAGTATTGTACTGATTTTTGCTATGACCTGGATGCAGTAAGCAAGAAAGATCGTTTTAAGATCAATATGCTGGTCAGAAACATCAAACATACAGAAAACATAGTGAAGATGTACAGTCAGGGTCAACTAATTCATTACTCAGAAAGTAGCTGCTTAAATTGTTGCCTTCTACTCACATTCTCTCTGTCTCCATGCAAGATATGCCTGAAGAACCTCCATTGATGGGCAGCATATGACACGTGATTTGAATGAAGGAGTAGATATCATGCCCTTGGTGGGAAAGAACTCCCTCCATTTTGCCACATATAAAGATGCAAAGAAGGACACGATGAGCGAGAGCATCTTGCTGCAAGTCAACTTCAATATTCAGCCAACACTAAAAAAATGATCCACAAGAATAAATAACATCGAAGGAGTGAGAAAAGACAATAGCTTTGTAATTACACCATGAGCCATGTGAAGAGTTCGCATTTTGTTAGATGGATGGAAAATTTGCATTCTTAAAGCCCACCTAGGGGTTTTTGATGAGTTTGTGCCATTGACCACAACCAAGTTGTGGACAGGTGAGATCAATGTAATACAGTTCTTGCATATTAAAATAGTACTCATATCCATCTTGGGTTTGGTAGGAGAGTGTAATTTCTGATGCTCAGTTTGGGGGTTAGGGGTGGAGAGCATTTGAGCCTTTAATTTAGCTCTGTTTGGGGAAATGGATTTGGATGCTTAAAACGGAGGGAGGAGCTCTTTGGCACAAAATTATTTCGAGTGTTTACGGTAGAGACAATGGCCTTAGTGGTAGAGATAGTAGGCGCTTTCTTAGGGGTGCTTGAGGATGAGTGTTAAAGGCGGTAAGAGAAATTGAGGAAGCAGGTATATCCTTCTCGGACTCGTTTAGCAGAAATATTGGTGGTGGGGCAGATATTGAATTCTAGATGGATCGATGGTTGGAGGTGGGTAGATTAAAAGATAGTGCATGTCACATTCACGGATTGCATGATAACATAAACACGATAATATAGTCGAAAACAAAGGCAAGTTGCAATACTGCAAACCTTTTGTATGAGTACTACAATGTGGTGTTTTTATGAAAGGTCAGAAACGACAACACAAACAGATACGAACTGTTGTAGAAAAATATCTAGTAATAAAACATCACCTGACACGCCTTTGGTAAAATTTGGTTTCCTTCTTGAAAACGAAACTGCAAAGCACATCAAATATTATTATAAAATATATATATATATATATATATATATAGTATTATAGAGGGAGGCTCAAGGGAAAACCCCCTAAAAATGAAAAACTGAGGAACACCCTGGTAACCATTCATCTGGATGGTGTGCAATTTTTATGCACATGTCAGACAAATTGCTTACAAATTACTTGTATGCATATGTGCATACAATCTAGATAAACGGTTATCAAGGAATTCCACCTGACCCTAGCATTATATTATCAATAAAACTGGAAACTGAAGGTCTCACCTGTATTCATCACTGAAGCCATAAGCCAAGATTATGTCTGGGTACTTCTCCAACACTGAGGTTGCACAACAGTTCATCAAATTTAAAGCTCTTTCATCGTTTGGTTTTTCAAACTCATTAATTTCAGAAAATCTGCCAAATTTACTAGATGGTTATAACAGTAAAAGTTATCCATATATAACCTAATAAGCACCACTAGAGGTAGCCTAGAAGAAAATATAATTTATGAAAACAAAATATCAAATGTGTATCCAGTATGACTGGCCATTTATTGCTTAGTCAGTCATGATTCATCAAATATAAGTTTTACCGAAGTGTGCTAAAGATGATTATTAGAACGCAACTGAACTCTTATTTATTTATCTATGAACGAAAGAAGTAGGTGGTGTCCCAATACTGCTAATTCTAGTTCATATGAACAATGTTATATGCCCCTAGAAATCCTCCTAATTAACAATTGGCATAATCTAGTAAACATATTTTGATTTTTGGTAGATAGGTCGTATCACGTATGATGTTTAAATTACGCCAATTGCCAATTAGGAGAATATAGCATTAATTGAATTAATAATCTATGTAGGAAGGGATGTCACGTGTAAACATGTCCCCCCCCCCCCCCCNNCCCCGGCACTAGCCTCAGCCGCTGAGTCAACTCTGAAATGCCCCCTCACATGTGATTCTAGGGGGCGGGTTCCGTGTGGGGCTGGTCGGGTTGTTGGTAATCAACCTTTGATCAAAAGTGTATAGTTTGGTTGTCTTCTACACATGTGGCATTGCCTATTTTATGGTCATGAGCCTATAACCATCTAACACAACTTCCACCATATACGATGCCAACTTCATCAATTCATCAAAAGTTCAAAAGATTAACCTCATGGTTTGCAACTTCAATCTCTCAAAATGAAAAAATAAAAAATTTGATAAAAGATCAAAATGATAAAGGCTCTACACTAATACCAAATGAGATATGGAAGTATTTTGGTTGTAGGTCTACCTTTCAAAATTGCGACCGTCAATTCGGACTACAATCAAGTTTGGATACATCATTTCGTCTTCGTTTTCAAACGACTTCACGTACTCATACTTGCTATTCGCCATGACAGCCTATAATCACCTCTACAAAGAAATTAGAAAAATAAAAATAAAAACAATAAATTTGATTAGCCTCAAATTGATAGACAATAACTCTAATAGATATGTGAAGGCCCAAGCGGGTACCGTGCACCTGCTCAACCGATTTTTGCAAGGAAATTTTTTTGGGTATGAAAGGTGCTCCCACTCAACCTTGAAGGGGTGCTCCAAGACATTAGAAAATACAAGGAATATCAACCAAAATACCAAAAAAATTCATCCAAAATCAACCAAAAAAAGTCCCTCGAAATCAACCAAAAAAAGTCTCGAAAAAGTCTGCTGAAATCAACCAAAAACTTGAAAGATCCCTCAAAACGGTGAAATTTGACTAAAAACACGTCAGTTAAAGGTGCGCCCGCTTGGCAAAATCCTGGATCCGCCACTGGTCGGAGTAGGGAAAAGTTCACTGCTGCTTCAACAGAAAGGGGAGATTATCGTCTCAAATGATAGGTAAGATGGACGTGATTTCAGCTGCAGGGGTTAAATTTTATATATTTTTTAAATTTGAGGCGCAACTTTTACTTACCAACAATAACCAACCATCCAGGCAATGGCGGATCAAGAAAATTCATGGACTCGGGAACCTAAAAGAGTGCCTAAAATTACATTCTACAATTATTCTCTACGAATTTTCATCTTTTATAAATGAGTCGTTGCATCTTCATTTATAACAGTAGCAAGTCCTTTATTACAACACAAATTACACAAAATTTGGAAGCATAAAATACTAAAATAGAGTACATATCAACAAAAACCTCAAAAATTGAAATCCAAGATGTGTGTTTAAATATAGAACGATATCCTCTTTTTAACCTAAGTTGTCAAACAGTATCACAATTTACAACATCAATACAACATCAATGCAAATGTAATATGTTACTGGAATAATGGAATTCTATCATCAAAACTCAAAAGGGTAACATATTCATCATTGATGCTCAAAATATCGTATGTTTTAATGAGCAAACTATGGGTATTTTCTTAGTGACTTACAGTCTTAGACTTAGAAATCGAAAAGAAAAGGAACAACAACAAAATCGAATCAAACAGAACAACATGAAAGAAATCGAACACCAACCTGAGCTAAACTCGAAGATTTTGGAGGAAGAAATCGAGCTGTCGAACTCGAGAAGATTTTGCAATAGAAGAAAATAAGAAATCGAGGTTGTAGGTCGGAGCTAGAGAAATACGTCGGTCGGAGGCTGAGGAATATGCCGGCAACCAGTTGCCGGTCGAAGGTTGTAGTTGACGGCGGCGTGAAGCCGTGAAGCCGTGGGAGTGGGGGCAGGGGCGGAACACAAACCTTCTAACCGTAGGGGCCGGAACTAGTATATTATATATTTCAAACTTCAAAGGTACCAAAAATACATTATCCAAAGTTATAACATAGTAAAAGCAGCTAACTTGTTACCTATTCATGCTTTGCTGAGATCACTTCTTGAAAATTGCAGGTGGGTTTTAATCAAAGATTTCAATTTTGTTTAATCATGAAGTTGTGGTGTTGTTGGTTGTGTGAGTATCTGATCACTCTCTTTAATTATCATCACATGATGAAATTATTAATAGCAAGGTTGATGTGAAGAATGAGGTTGGTTTTGGTTGTTTAGATTTGAGATTAACTTTTCATGCCACTTTTTTAATTGGCAAAGTTTGATTGTTTCATGTTCTGATTGCATTTGTTAGATACCAATATGAGTACTTTGAATATTTTGTTGGCAAGGTTCGACAATCTTCATGTTTTCCCCTTGTTTTTTGGTTGATAGATTTATTATGCACAACTTTATTAATTTGACTTTGGAACTTCTCGAGTACTTGGGGGTTTTAAAGCCAAATAATATTTGAAGTTTATTTCAGTGATGGATTTGCTGAATATCCATTTGGACTTGACATCATCTTTTCACTACACGCTTTAAGCCCTTGGAATGTTTAGTTATCAAGTTTTTTTGATTCAATTGGTTCATTGTAATTTTGTTGATTTGATTTTTGAAATTATTGAATACTTGGGGATTTAGTGGGGAAGAATTCGTCATCTGGCTGTCTTTCTGTCTTATTGTTATAGAATAATTGTCTACATCATGCCATACTAGTTGCCTAAATCTTACAGCATTTCTGAAGGAATCTTAATGCTTCTCATTTGTTACCACAGCATTTCTGAAGGAATCTTAATGCTTCTCAATGGAAAAGATGTATGCCGCTTTAAAGTTTCTGTTACTCAATTCTGATGATTGTTTTCTGGTATTTTCCTTCTCTTTGCCAAAGATTTAAATGCTACTTGAGTTATATGATCAGTTGGGAGACTTCATAACTCATATGTCATGGTGATAGCACCCTCGTAGCTGTTCATTTGGACATTAACTGTGTACAAGAATCAAGAATGAACATTAACTGTGTACCAGAATCAAGAATGAACTGTTAACACAGTATGTACATGTGCATACCGTCCTAACAATGGTAGGTTGAGTTTTCATCTTTATCTACATTACATAGCAGTTTTAGTGTTAGATACTTAGATTATATTCACCTAAATCACCTAATAAGTAATAAATCAGCTAATTGTGTACAAGAATGAACATTAACTGTGTACAAGAATCAAGAATGAACTGTTAACAGCAATTTCCACATAAATTTAACAGCTAAATCACCACTTTCCACATAAATTTCCACAATCCACATAAATCAAGAATGAACTATTAACAGCTAAAGCCTAAATCACCACAGGTCCACACAGTCCACATAAATTTAGACCTAAATGACTAAATCAGTAAATGAGTAAATCAGCAAATAGAAGGTGCAAGCAGTAACAGAGTCTCTCCCTGTTACAGTCTTACAGAGAATGAGAATGAGAGAAGGACCGAGGACGGACTTACCGGCTGAGAGCTGGCCGTCGACCGCCTGCAGTGCCGCCTGGCCCGCCTCCGCTGCCCTGCCCTGCCCTGCCGCCTCCGCCTACGCTGCTGCCCTCTCCCTCTCGTCGCTTTCGAGTCTATCGCCGTCGCCTGGTCGCCTGGAAGTGGTGGGGCCGGTTGAGAAAATTTGGTTTCCTAAATCTATTAGACTAAACTATGGAAGGGTTTTTGGAAGAAAAAAAAAAGCGCAGGGGCCAGGGTGCCTATAGGCCCATTAGGCGGTCCGCCCCTGAGTGGGGGACTGGGGGAGCGGCAAAATTCGCCGTGGCAAAGTTAAGGACTTGTAGTGTAAAACATTTTAATTAATTTAAATTTAAACATATTCTCTATTTTTTAAATGATAATATTAATTGTATTATTTAAATAATTTATATATTTAATAAATGGTGGTAATATGATTAATATATATATACTAGAAGCGTACTCACGCAATGCAGCGAAATACATCATGATTTTAATATTTCATTTTATTTTTTATCTCAGTCGATGTTATAATATGGCTTTATGTGATTTTGAGAAAACGATGATTTTTTATTTTTGAATAAAATATATGTTTGAAGATATCATAAAAATTTGACAAAAATATATCGATATTAGTATCAAATTAACTATTTGAAATTTCTCATTTTTTTGTGTAATTTTTTAATTCAATATTTTTATAATTTAATTTATGTACAATAACGAAATAATTTATAGTTGGTTTAATAATATAATTTTTTT